GGGAGGGGAGGGAGGGAGGGAGGGGAGGGAGGGATACTTCCAACATGTTCCAGTGCACGGCTTCCCCGTCCTCATGGAGTCATCCGCTGACCGCAGGAATGGATTGATCAGCCATTCCTATGCGGACACTGTACACTGACCCGCCCGGGACTCTCACTCCGCAGCGGCTCTATGCTGTGCATGCTTCTTGTACGGCTTCAAGGGCACCCCTCTGCACCTATCTTTAGCCCGGGCACGTTGCGCATCGTGGATGGCACAGTGTACTTGCGCTGAACCTGCCGACGAGTCGGCAAGGCCATGCTGTAACTTGCTATACAAGGCTTTGACGGGTCTTGCGTTGCCACCACGCGAAGAAAATGCACAAAGCTGTTCCGGTCTCCAATTCGCTCACGAAACTCAGATGAGTTCTAATCTGTCAGCTGTGGCCAGCTCCTAGCACCCGCGGTGGACGGTTGCAAAGACTCGCCGATGTTCGAGCAACGCTGAAAACCCGCAGACCTTCTGCTCCTTGGCCCACGCGAGCATCTGCCTGGACGGTTGAGATTCTAGACTCGCTGCCGTCCAACCTTCAGCATGCCTGCCAAAGCAAGCTGTCATGAAGGTCCACATGCGGATTTTGTGAAACGCAATTTGCATTGTTGGCAAGCACCCGAATACCAACTCAAATTGATAAAGATGCTGCAATTGCAGTGGCATGCTTGTACGGATCACGGGGAGATGGAAACATGCAGGCCGCTCTCCAAGTTCTTGTTTGCAGTCTCCACCGCGACAGCGAACTGCAGGTTCTTGACCTGCACCCCCACCCACCGCTGTCTCAGAGGCGAACGCTCCGGACAAAGCGCTCAATGATCCTTTGGCGATCATGCGTCGCTTGCTTTGTCTGGGCTGCGAGCCGTGTAATCATGTCCGACATAGACGAGAGTTTCTGCAGGGAGCGCTCCCAGCCTTAAGGAGCTTACACATTGTGCATGCGCATACGCTAACATACACTAGCTTTGGTGTCGCTTCGCACCCTCATCCGTTTAAACTCTAGGGGCCTGGCACCTTCACCAGGGAGTTGTGAAACTCCTGTACACATTGCAAGTGGCAGTGCAGTGCGTTTGTACGGTACACCTCAAAACCGGCAACGCTGCTCAACGCGACCAAATTCTTGTTTCCTCATTCGACTTCTGGCTGCTCTTCGACTCGAAGATTCCAGAACTATGGACGAAACTGTGGTGCTGCCACGAGACCAACTCCACTTCCAAGCGACAAAGGAACTAAAAGATTCACCTGCGCGCCTGCTACCGAATTGGCTCCTGTGCCGTAAATCGAACTAGCTGGTTTCATTGAACAAGGTTCCTCTTTTTTCCGACCTGATGTTGTTGCCAGAAATGACCTACGCCCATGCGAAATCGGATCTATCCAAGCTCAACCGTGTTCGTGACTCTCACAGAGATAACCGCAGCTCTGCTTGGCCGAGGCAGCATACGCCTTTGTTTTGTAACCATTTTAACCATCCACCAGCATCGCCTCCCTACGATTCCGTTCGTGCTATTTTAAATCTTGCTGATGACTTGAGTCGGCTGGGCAGTAAAGACAAGCCCGAACCTCTCCTCCGGCGTGCTCTCGAACATTCGACCACAGCCTCAACGAAGAGTGTTTTTCAACACACACACACCCTACATATACAAATATATACATACATAAGTAATATTGTATATATACATTGAATGTTATTTTTGTGTGCATACGTACATACCATCAATGTATATACCGTTATATATCATATCATAGGATGCAAGAAAATAACAAAACACTGGATTGCGCTGCACAACAAAACACCACAGCACAGTAAAAACGATACAATAAATCACAATACCTTGCGACGCATGTGCAACACATACTCATTATAAAGACATTACATTGCAAGCAGATCACTCCATTCCACAGAACTCAATTCCACTACGCTACGCGGCGTTACATTACATATCGCACGGGCATGCAGACATACATACATGCATATGTATGCGTATACATATATGTACATATTTATAAATTATTTATATATTTAAAATTATTTTTATTTAGATATTTGATCAGTTGATCATATTTGTACACACACACGCCACACGCGCATATTAGTATGTATAAATGTTTCTCAAAGGACCGTGTTTCCTCCGAAGAGACTGGGGGCATCCGAACTGGCGTGAACTATACAAGCTCACAGGAGGAGACGTGTGTGTCTCCGTTCAAGAGTCCTAACTTTGGCTATCTCGTCCGTAAACGTCTCTCCTGTAGGAGCGGCCCCTCAGCTTAGTGGGACGGGGGTGGGCGAGCCAGCATGCGTCGCCCGAAACTAGTCGCGAAAGGCACGTGGTGAGCTGCGCTACGTAAACGCTGCACTACTATAATCGGGCGTTTTCTCAACGGACCGTTCTTGATCGGCTATTTGATCCAACGCCAGCTGCGCCCCTCTCTCTCTCTCACTCTATCTCTCTCACAGAAGCCGCCGGGGGTATTGCTTCGGTGCGAAGACTGTCAGGACCCGGTTTGTGGGCACCGGCGGTGTTCGCTCCAGGTCGTTGATCGCGCGATCGGCCCTCCTTCCCCGCCATTGACTGCATCCGTTGCAGGAGTCTGGCGGCAAGCCTTCCGGGCGTCTTGAGACCGTACTCCTGAAGCTGAAATAAGCTGAAGCTGCGGACTGGATCCCTTCCCACCGTCGCGAAAATCCGGATGATTGTTGAGAGGAGTCGGTGGTGAATCGTTGCCGTAGCTCACCTTGTGGCCGGATCCAACCGGCCCGCGATCACGAAGGGATCTTCTTTTCTTGTCCTTTTTCTGTTTCCTTCCCTTCCTCTCGCGCCGCGAAGATTTTGGAGAGGCATCGGAGGAGGAGGAATCACGAGGCCAAGCCATTCTCCTTGACCGGCTCTGGCAGGGGCCGAGGCAGCACGCCCGTGGGGGGAATCATGCGGATGTTGTTTCATTTTCGTTTTCTTTCTGCTTCCTGGGATTTCTCCAATTACGGGGCCCAGCTCCGGTTGCCGCTTTGGCTGCATCATCCTTTTCTTTCGTTTGCCCGTAGGCGTACCGAGCTCGGCCTCAAGCTGGGTGAGCCGTCTGAGGGCAGCCTCGTCGACGCAGGCGATCGCAGGCGTCCGGAGCGCGAAGGCCACCGGCCTCCTTGAAATCTATCCCTGAGCTGCAACATTTCCCCGTGAAGAGATTTCCTGCTACTCTTGCTATCTCCTCTTCAACATACTTCTTGTGCTTGCTCTTCCGGGTCCATTGAATCTTCACGTCTTGCCAACCAAGTCCCCAACCGACATCATTCTGAAATTGTCAGTGCGGGCTCCTTCAGATAACCAGTCGCTCACTGCCGAAGAGGTTGCCTCGGTAGTCGAGCCAGCCGAGCGAGCACCGTGCCTTGTTTCGCACGTGAACCATCGCTACACACTCGACGTCAACGACTTGCAATGTAAAAGCGGCCCAGACCTCTCTGGGTCCCCGGTTGCGGAGAGCCAGAGACCGGGCATCATTAGATGCTGCGCCCCAAATTAGTCGAGAAAGGCACGTGGTGCACTCCACTGCACTGCATTACGCTGCGCTACCCACTTGCGGTTATAGATATCTACATACACATCAGCACAGAGAGAGATATAATATATATATATATAATATATATATATATATATGTGGCAGGAACCTTTACGTATAATGTGTTGTTGTTCTTTGTGTTACTATTAAAACTAGTCTATGCGCCACAGCCCATTATCAT